CAAAAAAAAAAAAAAATCGACTTAAAAAAACAACAAGAAAAAAAAGCCCAACAAAAAACTAAAACAACAGAACTACGTTGATTCTCGTGATTATAAAAATCATCACTCTATGAACAGAACAGTAAACTTAAATTTAAAATGCCTGCATCATGATGTCACTATCTAAGTCAAAGGAGAAAAATTCACACTTGAAAAAAACCCCCAGCAGACTTTTAATTAAAAACAGTCAAACCTTGTTACACTGCCTACCTTTGAATAAAGTTAGTTTAGTTTTACTTTTAGTAAGAGTTTTATGGCACTTGCAACACTAGAGGGTCATACAAGTGCCGAAGATTAGAGGTGTAACAAGAGAGTAACAAACACAAAAAAGAAGGAGTGGGAGATAAAAACGATAGATGTTTGAAAGGAAAGAAGAAGCAAACCACACCAAAGCACCCACCAACCACCCACAGAATAAAGTTAGCGGTACCGCGGGGCTGGGGGTACATATAACGAGGATTGACTGTCATTCCAACTACAGCTTTCTCAGATTGTCTTAGAAATATTGTTGATTAAATGACGGTATGTTGACGAATGACACAGTCTGAGTCATGATCTAAGGACGGGTTATGGCCCGTGGTCAGTCTATTGCACATTCCTCTACCAAGACATTGCCACTCCTGGAATAATGTGCATGCTCAAACGTCAGTTTTAGGTTTAGTAAGGTTTTACCGCGCTCGCAACTGCATAAGGTCATCATATGAGCGCCAATGGGTGGATGTCAAGAGAGAAGTCCTTACGCGGAATCAGGCTTACTCTGTTCACCTCTCAATCCTCAACAGCATAAAGTCTGCTTCGACTATAAATGCACCCCGGAAATAGTAGTTCAGAAGAGAGAGACAAACATACAAAAGAAGTAGAGGAAAATGATGATAGAAAGGATGACCGGTGGACACAGAAAACATAAACATGGAAAACTCAAAATCACGGGTGGCTCATACACATGGCCATTCCGCCATTATTAGTAGTATAGATTGTGAAGCGCATAGAGCTTGCTGTTGAGCGGGGATTTGCGCTACACAAAGGCTATCTATCTTATTATCTCTATAATTTTTTCCTTATCTGTTAACCAGAAAGGATGAGTCAAAGACATATTTTTGTCGATCCCTGACGTGTTTGAGTGGTGCCTGCCCGATTGCATCTTAGTTTTACAAGGAACAATTACTCACCAAAATAAAAAATAAAAAACGCTCCAAAGATGCAACGAACAAGAATCGGACTGCTGCATCAGCTTTGCCTTTGTACTTTTTTAAAAAATGCATTTGTTTTTACTCCAACTATCAACATAGTTTAGATCATTTAGGAGGCAGGTTTTGACCCTGGCTGTCAGGGCCAACCTGTGCAAAGAGGGACGCAACGCCTCGAAGGAAAGAGTGAGATACTCGATAAAAATTCTCCCCTCATGGCAATCAAACTTTGGGTCTTCTGTTTGTAACAAAGAAGCACCTCACAGCTAACCACAGACGCTGGTTTTGTCTCATTCTGTTTAATAGTAAACTCCTAGCATATTAGCAAAAAAAATTGTTCCCCTTTTTTGTGAGCAACCAGTTTTGTTGTTTCAAGATTTCTGGATTTCTACATCACAAACTTCCCCAGAACTCCAAACAGGGTTCCTGCCATGAACTCCCCACCAAATTCAAAGAGACTTCAGGGAGGTTTCAAGGAGAAATTTTAAAAATTCAAGGAGATTTGGTCAAGAAATTCATGCACTCAGACCCCCAAAAGCCTATTTCCCATAGGCCTACACTTGTTGGAGAGGAATCAAAGTTTCGACTGTCCGAGAAAAATTTTGTTCATGACCGATTCGGCGAAATTCAAGTAGTTTTCAAGGAGGTTCCTCAAATTCAAAGAGTTTTTAAGTACACTTTTCCTTGAAGGCAAATTCAAGAAGTTTTCAAGGACTCCTTGAATTCAAAGAGGCAGCAGGAACCCTGCAAACAACAAACTGAGTAGAAGAGAATGATCTGAGCAATAAACGTGACAGTCGGATTATAATTATAGGAAGCAGGGATTGACCTGGGTTTTAGTTTTAACCGAGCGATGCCCTGACCCAGGGGAAGTTACCTCTCAACAAGAACAAAACGTAGTTCTGAAAGCACAATCAGCCAATACCAGACAGTCTCCGAGTACCGGTACATCAGTACATATGATCTTCCAAACTGAAAAAAACAGAAATCTCGGGGTAAGAAACTCCACGAGCATTCCGCAGCAGCAAACGAGACAAATTAAACAACATACTTAGTGAAAACAAAACTTGCAAAACACGAGTTATTTCGTGTAGAATACACAATTTTTAAAAAGTCATTGTAAAAATCTCTGTTGTTCTGTTCACCAGACGAATCTGTTGAATCCTCAAAGAGGACACACACTACACAAGTTCAGAAATGCTGTATCAAAAGGAATCTGCAACAAAAGGCCTGTACAGTCAAAATTGCCTTTTCTTAACAAAAACATAACACAAACATAAAAGAAACGTGTGGAAAGCTCCAACAGTTCAATGAATTTGCAAAATATTGATTGTCCTTTCCCATCTTTTCTGAAGGGAAAATTTTAAAAAACACAACAAAACAAAACAAAATGAAAAGCTCCTGTGAAACAAAAAACAGAGACAGAAATCTGAATAATAATATAATCAAAAACAAGGACAATATGGTTCATTATTCAGACAAGATCATTGTGCCTTCTTCTTCATAAAAGATCTACAGTATAAATATCGGGTATGTAATAATCTTGCACAAAGGAGGAAACACATGCATAAGACCCCCTCCCCACCCCCCCTTCCTTCCTTCCACACCACCCTTTATAAGACATTTACACTCTGCCAAACAAGAAAATCTCAGCTCAGAGACACTCGGCCATAAATGCAGCAACCCAACCTCAACAGAACTCGTCGAGTACATCCAATTAAAACTCCCTTAATTAATCCACTTATCCCCACACACAATGCCAGTTTTGCTCTCATGCTACTGTGCCAGACACAACTAGTTTTTAGTTTTGTCACTCAATATGAGAAGGCTTCGCCCAGGGCTGAAAAAAAATAAGTCACTACCCCTGAGACCTGGCAGAGAGGAGGAGAACGAGAGGGAGTAGAAATAAAATACAAATGGTAAAAATTTTAAAAATCGCAACAGAATAATACAGTCGAACCTGCTCTCAAACGACCGGCTGTCCGAGACAATTGCCAATTCCAACAGCCACTCCCCCCTTGCCTTTTTCTTTCTCTATTACAATGACACTATCAAAGATATCCACCGGTCTAGGATGTCGCCTCTAAGCACAAGGGGGCTATCCCGAAAAATGCCGTTTTGAGAAAATCGAAGGTAAAGTTTTTGCCCCTCATTCAGTTTCTTTAACACTTTCCACCCACGCAGCGTGCAGAGCGCGCAATACTAATCCCCAGGGACCAGGATACACCTGAGGTACACGCTATATCACACCGGCGTCGATCGGCGTCCCATGGGGGAAAAGTGTTAAAAGACAAGGCAAGTTTTCTCTACAACCAAACAAAAATATACACACCAATGAAACCAAACTTCTCCTATAGGTAGGGCAATGCCCACTTTTGGTGTAGGTCAAGATTTCTGGAAACCCCCGAAATCTGGGTTAGCCCGCTTGTCTTTAAAAGCGACCATTTCTCCACAACAACTGATGACGGTCTAGGACACATTTTCGACTGCACACCTATAAATTACCTTTTTTTAGTAAGTGTTTAACGGCACTTGCAACACAATAAGGTCATATAAATGCCAACGATTAGAGGTGTTACTAGAAAGTAACAAACACAAAAGAGAAGGAGGACAGATAAGGACGACAGATGTTTGATTGGAAAGAAGAAGCAAAAGACACCAGAGCATCCTCCAACCACCAACACCCATAAATTAGAATTCAAACACAATATATTGATGGTTTGGCAAGTCTATGGTCACAAGAGCAACACTACTGAAGTCTCCTGGCCCCTTACCTATTCTTCCCCAGCCAGAGAAGAACTCCCCTCCCCACCAACAGTAGAAACAGCCTCCTCGGCAACAGAATCGCTTCCCCTAGCAACAGAACTCCCCCCCTCCACGGCAGACACACCCTCCCCACTCTCGGGAGCGCGGCAGGTGGTTCCCTTGCAGCGTCCCACCTCACGCTGGTCGTACGCGTCCACCATGTCTCGCAGCTGTTTCTGATCCTCCAGGGAGAAGCCGATGTGTACCATGTAGTTCTGGATGGATCCATACCTAGGAGGGAGGACGACAAATATCATGAGAATACGGCCAAGTCCGCTTAAATGAAACACGCTTAACGGGCCCGTTTTTGGAAAAAGTAAAGTTGTTCCCGCATCCGATCCGGACATTGGGGATCGCCTTGTTATGTTTTAGTAAGTGTTTTACTGCACTTACAACACAATAAGGTCAAATAAGTGCTGAAGAATAGATGTGTAACAAGAGAGTAACATACACAAAAAAGGAGGAGAGATAAGGACGATAGATGTTTGAAAGAAGGATCGCAACTGCATACGGTCATTATATATGAGCGCCAAGGGGTGGATATCATCAGAGAAGTCCAAACGAGAAAATTGGGCTTACTCTGCTCACCTCTCTAGCCTCAACAGCACAAAGTCTGCTTCGACTATCAAGGCACCCCAGAAATAGCAGTTCACAAGAGAGTGACAAACATACAAAAGAAGTAGAGGAAAATGACGATAGTAAGGATGAGGAAAGAAAAAGTAGCAGTTCCCCCTATGTTGTTCTGGCACAGTATGAGCAAGACACTGATAAATCAGCCCGTTTACAATTTTACAAACTCCGGAGCTACTAGGTCACTTACAACAACATCTTTTTGTTTTCGCAAGAGTTTTAAGGCACTTGCAACAAAATGAGGTCATATCAGGGCCGAAGATTAGTTTAGTTTTAGTAGAGGTTTTACGCCGCTCACAACTGCATAAGGTCATACGAGCGCCAGAAGATTAGAGGCATTACAAGAGAGTAGCAAATAAAAATGAAGAAGGGAAGATAAGGATGATAGATATTTGATAGGAAAGAAGGAGCAAACCACACCAGAGCACCTGCAAACCGCCTGCTGCGAAGATTAGAGGTGTTAAAAGAGAGTAGCAAACATAAAAAAGAAGGAGGAGAGATAAAGACGATAGTTGTTTGATAGGAAGGAAGGAGCAAAGTCAGCAAACCACACCAGAGCACACATCAACCACCCACAACAACAACTACATCAACATGAACAACATTAACAACAATTACAATTATTTATACTGCCGTGCCAAGGCAGAGCGACGTATCTGCACTTTTTATGATTTTGAGCTATGTCGCGCCGCCACTGGAAATATGGGCATGGCCCTTCAGTTACGTCTATTTGGAATAGTGAAATATCCTATTTGTAGTGCAGATAAGTCTTACTAACTTTTTGACACAAGATGCAGAATGGGAATAGGCGTCCATTTTTAAATAACAACGAAGATGCAAAAATTAAAACGAAGATTCATTTAATAATTTTTGCAGATACGTCGTTCTGCCTTGGTATGGCAGTTTAACTCACTTGCGACTGGGCCCTTTCACCAGTCACAAGCGTTGAAGACTGGCGTTTTTGGGGGTATTTCAATAAATCACCACAACTCTCAGAATTACCCTATTGTAATCATTTTTTGACACAGTAAAGTAACATTCAAGCTTAATTTAATATAAAAAACTAAAGTTGTCTAAGTCT